GTGCCTCTGCTGGAATGCTGTCTAGTCCTGCTGCTTTGCCACTCTTGATTTGTCTGATAGCCATGCTGATTTCTTCAATTGTCGGTGCGCCAACATCAATTGGGAGGTCCGTGAGTGCTGCTTCGATGTTGGGTGGGTTCAGTGGGGCTGGTCGATTCAAGAGTTCTTTGAAGTGTTCTACCCACCTGTTTCGTTGTTCTTCAATGTTGGTGATTATCTTGCCTTCCTTGCTTTTCACTGGTCGTTCTGGTTTACAGTGATTTCCAGAGAGTTTCTTTGTTGTTTCATACAGTTGTCTCATGTTTCCTTCTCTGGCAGCCTTTTCCGCCGTCAATGCCAAATCTTCCACATATTTACGTTTGTCAGTTCTGATGCTCCTCTTCACCTCCCTGTTTACTTCTGTGTATTCAGCTTGTGCCTTGACTTTTTCTGCTCTTGTTCGACTGGTATTGATTGCTACTTTCTTGTTCCTCCTTTCTTGAATCTTATCCAGTGTATCGACCGTGATCCAATCCTTGTGATGGTGCTTCTTTTGGCCCAGAACCTCATGACATGTTGAAGTGATTGCCTCTTTTATCTCTTTCCAGTTGCTCTCCATAGTAGTTCCTTCTCCATTGAGTAGATCATGAAATGCTTGGAACTTATTGCTGAGGGTTATCTTGAATTCATTGAGTTTGTCATTATCCCGAAGAAGAGCCATATTAAATTTTTGTGATATTGTCCTCCCCGTTGTCCAGTGCCTCTTGAGTTTCAATTTCATCTTGGTGACCAGCAAGTGATGATCTGATGTTATATCAGCTCCTCTCTTTGTTCTCACGTCCTCCATCGTCCTCCTGAACTTTTTGTTGATGCAGATATGGTCGATTTGGTTCTGTGTGCTGTGATCCGGTGAAGTCCATGTGGTTTTGTGTATGCGTTTATGTGGGAATATAGTCCCGCCTATGACCAGTTTATTGAAGGCACATAGATTTGCAAATCTCTCACCATTTTCGTTCCTTTCTCCCAGTCCGTGTCGTCCCATGATCTCTTCGTATCCGGTGTTGTCCATTCCAACCTTGGCATTTAGGTCTCCCATCAGAATAGTCAGGTCTTTTGTTGGGCACTTCTCGACGATTGACTGCAGCCTATCGTAGAATTGATCTTTAGCGTCTTCATTGTAGTCGTTGGTAGGCGCGTAGCATTGGATGACGTTCATTGTAATCCCTGTTTTCTTTGTTTTGAAGGAGGCTTTGATGATCCTTGGTTCATGAGATTCCCATCCTATAAGTGCATTTTGTGCTTGTTTGGACAGCATCAATGCAACTCCTTGTGTATGTGGGGCATTTTCTTGTTCATGTCCGGAGTATAACAGCAGCTCCCATGAAGCTAGTCGTTGTTGTCCAACTTGCGTCCAATGTGTTTCACTGATCCCAAGCACCTCCAAATTGTATCTCCTCATTTCTGCAGCAATTTGAAAAACTCTCCCAGTCTCCCACATTGTGCGAGCATTCCATGTACCTAAATAAATGGTTGCTCTGGTTGTCAGAAGGGGCATCGGCCTCGTGACTTCCGAAGAAACTCGGCTTTCATCATGAGGCGTCATAATTCTTCTAAACGAAGACCTCCTGACTCCCAGTGCAGAGTTTAGTGATTGAATATGATCGGTCTCTGTAGTGTGATCCGGTGAGGCTCATGTAGCTTTATTTATGCGTTTGTGGGAGAATATTGTGCCACCAAAAACCATTTTCAGTATTGGGGTTGTGGAGATTATTAAGCTTTTGATTGAGATCATGAATCGACTGATGTTAGACCACCGTTGGAAACCTGGAAGCACTGGACGGCCGTTTCGTCCTAGTATGGGACTCCTCAGCAGTGCGCATCCACGATCCCGCTCGCGGGATTCGAACCCAGGGCCTTCAGTCTCGCGCGCGAACGCTTAACCTACTCGACCACTGAGCCAGCATCCAATGGTGTTAGTGTCTAACATCAACCAATCCACGAAATTGCGCGACCATCTTCCATTGTACTGAGGTTTCCAACGGTGGTCTAACATCAGTCGATTCATGATCTCAATCAAAAGCTTAATAATCTCCACAACCCCAATACTGATAATTAACATGTGCTCACTAGTGACTAGCTTCGTGAGGGAATTCTCGGAGTTCTAGTGAGAAGCCGTGACCAGTGGAGCTAATCCGTGTCGGGTAGAGACAGGTATCTACCTCAGTACAATGGAAGATGGTCGCGCAATTTCGTGGATTGGTTGATGTTAGACACTAACACCATTGGATGCTAGCTCAGTGGTCGAGTAGGTTAAGCGTTCGCGCGCGAGACTGAAGGCCCTGGGTTCGAATCCCGCGAGCGGGATCGTGGATGCGCACTGCTGAGGAGTCCCATACTAGGACGAAACGGCCGTCCAGTGCTTCCAGGTTTCCAACGGTGGTCTAACATCAGTCGATTCATGATCTCAATCAAAAACCATTTTGTTGAATGTATATAATTTTGTAAATCTGTCACCATTCTTGTTCATTTCTCCCAGCCAGTCCATGTCGTCCGATGATATCTTCATACCAGGTGTTGTCCATTCCGACTTTGGCGTTTAGGTCTCCCATCGGGATGATCAGGTCCTTTCCTGAACACTTCGTCATGATTTATTTCAGCCTCTCATAAAACTGATCTTTATCATCATCATTAGTGATTGCTCAACATTGGATGATATTCATTGTGATTCCCTCCTACTTTGTTTTGAAAGACGCTTTATTGATCCTAGGTCCCTCAGATTCTCATCCTACAAGTGATTTTCGTGCTTCTTTGAAAAGCATCAGTGCAACTCCTTATGTGTGCAAAGCATCCTTATCTTCATGACCAGAATACAACAGCATCTTCGCCAAACCTAATCTTTCCTATCCAGATTGGGTCCAATAGGTTTCACTGATTCCGAGCACCATCAAGTTGTATCTCTTGAGTTCTCTCAGTCTCCTGAATTGTCAGAATATTCAATGTACCTATATTAATTGTTGATCTAACTGGCAGAAGGGTCATTGGCCTCGCCATTTTCGAAGTCTTGGCTTTCACTATGAGGCATAATAATTCTTTTGAAAGAATATCCTTCAACTCAGAGAGCAGAGTTTAAATCGTTTAATTTGTTTACTCGGATTAGTGCTTCTTTAGCAAGGTTATTTTCCACGGGATGGAGTTGCTGACCCTATACCCAATCATCCTTCTTTATCCAGACCTGGGACCGACAATAATCTTAGAAGGGCTACAGGTGGTGTTTTGTAAATGACAACAATGAGATAATAAGTAAAGACAAATTGTAAACAAATGAGTGATAATCAAGGCCTCTATTTAGTATAAAATTAAATTTAAAGTCGTGGGTGAACGTCATCAGGTATTTTTACTATAGGTTATAAGACGTAATATAGAGATAATGTAACCGACAAGCGTTAAAATGTTACTATCTCACAGTGGTAAAGAGAGATTTACCACACATTCTTTCTGTATACAAAGGTCAGATCGAAAGCGCTTGATGAAAATGACCGCTGCAAAGCTGAATAAAAGTAGTGTACGTTGCCTGTTAATTAGTTTAAAAGCTTTTGAGATATGCATTTTGTGTCAACTATTCACTAAATGTTTATAGATCGACTTATTTCAGTCCTTCCTATATGCTTGATTCCACAAGAATATGTAGATTCGTAAATAAATTCAGCGGTGACATCAGGAAGTATTGATGCACTTTTGATCGATTTAAAGAACGTCTGGTGTAATACACCGATAATATTTGGGCTGAAAGGAAGCTTTTCTATTGAGTTTCCTTAATTCTTATATCAATTCTGCTGGAAATATCTTTACTTTTGAGTGTAAGATGGAGGAAGACAGGTTTTCTGTTATTAGTTGTTTGGTTTTTCCGTACTTCATAATAAATTCCTTTGGATATCCGTTTTTTTATAATGCACCCTTCAATGTATGCTGTTTTGTCCTATATTTTCTCGGTTAAACACAACTTTCTAGCTCCATTAAATAGGGCTTTGAATAATTTATTTATTTATTTATTTGAACACAAAAATATCGGTACAAGAAGGCACCAAATACGTATGCGCCACACAGATCTCATTTGATATGTGTGAGGGCTGTGATACTGCCCGGGTGCCCAAACCGATACAGGTGGTTTTCTTAAGGGGCCACACCCTAAGCCTTTGACCAAAAGGTCTGATCCACAAGGCAGTGGAGCATCGTAAAGAGATGCAGTAACATGGTAGCCGGTGACCAAGAAATTGGTTCATACGCCATTTGTTCCTTCAGGATACTGGAGCCCATGTGCACCATTGATTTGGGATCCGGTTAAAGCGCCGGAAATACGCTTTCCGTCCTCTCAATTTCGTAAACAACACCCCCGCCACGTGAAGGCAGTGAGTAGGACTTCCTTAGCAGATGTTATATACGTGTGGCCATGTGAGAGCATTTCGAGAGGGAGAGTGGACTCTCCCCACTCTCGGTCATACCAGGGCATTTGGGGGCTTTTTAAAGCCGACGACACCCGGTATTCCCAGCCGGTCACGCATGCAAGTACTGACCGGGCCCAAAGTTGCTTAACTGCGGTGATCGGACGAGAACCGGTGCTTTCAACGTGGTATGGTCGCCGGCTCACCAAAGTTCGGAACTAACAGGACAACGACTATTTTCTATTCTGAATATGATCTCGGTGCTTCCATTGTTTTGTTTTCAGGTCTGACTAGTTGACTCGATTATTATGTTCATATTCCATCCCGAATTTGATGTTAATATGTGGTTTATCAAACTGGTAGGGCAACTGTGAGGGGTAACTCATATAATTACAAACAACAAATGCATTGTCAACATACCTTCTGTAGAATTTTACATCTTCGATTCCTCATTTCAGTTTGGTTTCTTCAAGACTAACCATAAAGATGTCGGCCAAAATAGAGCCTAGTGATAATTCCATGGTCAACTCATCAAATAATCCGCATTACTGACTTTCGAATTTGAATTGAACCCCTTTCGTGCATAGTAGTAGTAATTTTCTTATTTTGGAGCAAAGGAAGTAATTCAGAATGCTGGCATATTATATTTATATTTTCGTCTATTGGTAAGTTTGTAAATAATGAGCAAACATCAAACGATATCACAAATTTATCTGATATGTCCACATGATCAATTTGTTGAGATTAAAATGTACCTTATAAAGTATGATTTGCCATATTTTTTTGCAAATACGTTCTAATAATTTCGCTAACCATCGAGCCAGATTATGATACTGTGAATTTATCATTGAAATAACCGGTCGTAAAGAAATATTTGATTTGGGGACTTTAGAAAGAGCATAAATGAAAGACACGCATTCTCCTTTAGCTTTAAGCTGGAACAGCAATCAACTTCTTAAAGTTTCTTCAGTCGCCACAGTAAAATCGTTCTTAGACATATCAATCTGAAGCATATTCTACACGTAGTCATTTCGATTCACTATGAGGACATCCGAACCTTTATTTGGTCTTAATACAACCTTATGATTCTTTTGTAAATATTTCAGTATTGACTTGTACTTCTTAGTTAAAGTCGTTGAATGTGGCGTTGAAGAAATTACATATTGATCTAAAATAGCAACTAACTTGACTTTAAACCAACCGAGCAGTATCACCAATTAATCAATAGTTCACTGTGTAAACAGATTTATATTATCATATAATTAAGCATTTATAACAAACAGATATAACTTATTGAGTAAGTCCATACAAATAGTCTTTCGTAAACTGTAACTATATATTATATGTCAGTCGCACTATAATCGATTAAGTCAATGCTCGCCATATGAAGTTTTGTACTGAACTCAGTGCTATTCGCAAACATACACATACACATGTTCCCTTATCTAGAAGTATTTATTAAAACTATATACTTATCAGGACAAAAGTTTAGTAACACTCAGATAAATCATCTCAAATACGATTAAACGCACCTAATCGACCACCAACGTTGAGACGGCGGTAGAGAAGTAGCTCAGTAATTAAGGCGTTTGACGTTTAACCAATAAGTCCTAGGTTCAAACGCCAGTCCACCTCTTTCTGTTTAGGTAACCGGATATTATCACCAATCTTTACATTTAGAGCGCGCTCATTAGGTTAAACAATATAACACGGCGAATTTGTCAAAGTATTTACACTGTAAGCTAACACTTTTAAAAGAGATAAAAATGACAAGGGTTCAGTAAGCTAATGATCGAAAGTAAGAAATCTAAACGAAAAATCAACAAATATAAACAATCCTTGTAAGAAAGCCAAATAGAGATATGATATTATATATATTTAATTACTTCTCACGGAATAGTAAGTTGATTTATATGAGCCAAAATAGTTTATAATAATAATTTAGGCACATAGGATCTTTTATCAGTTGTTAAATAAATGTTTATTCTCATAAAAATATGAATGTGTACAAAAAGAAAAATGAAGCTGAAGCCAACAATAATCCATCTGTACCATACGTGACAACAGCAGATAAATGAAGAAATTAATTCTAAACAAGAAGATACAGAAAATATGTGCAATGAATAAAATAATTAATTGGTTAGATAACATTGATAATGATTTTGATGGAGAACGATAATGAATAGAATAAAGGGTGAGATTTTTTTTAAAAAAAAGACAGAATAATTATTTCCAATAAGTTAAAATAATGCAACAGACCTTAGTTATTATTACAATCTAATTGAGTAATAAGGAGTTCTTCACAGTGAAAGAGAGTTTATAGGTAAAAAGAAAAACAAAGACAAAAAAAACAACTAGGTATAACAAAGTTATACAATTTTTTTCAGCAGTATGATATTAAAATTACTTTGTTTATTTACTCTTCCCGATTATTATTTTGTGGTATTTTTGATGTCAACAGCATAGATGGATTTGTATTACCAACTTCTAAATTATTATTTTGTAAATATTGATCCACTCGATAACGCCAATTTATACCATCTCCAGGACTAAGGAGTGAAATAAGAGGAAATGGTTTTAAATAAATATTTATTATATATATATATATATATATATATATATATATATATATATATATATATATATATATATATATAATTACGAAAGCCATCATTTCAGAAGATACAAGTGTTTATTAACAGCTTTCTACGCAAAATACTTCGGATCCGTTGGCCAGAAACTATCAGAAACAACCTACTATAGGAGAGCACAAATAATATCCCAGTGAAGGAAGAAACTCTGGAAGTGGATAGGACACACCCAACCGGGTCACAAGGTAGGCCTTCATGTGGAACCCCCAAATTCAAAGGAAAATAGGAATACCAAAGAATACATTACGCCGTGAAATGGAGACAGACATCAGGAAAGTGAACAAAAATTGGATAGGACCGGAAAGGAAGGCCCAGGACAGAGCGGGTTGGAGAGCGCTGGTCAGCGGCCTATGCTCCATCGGGAGTTACAGGTGTAAATAATATATATATATATATATTTGCTGGGATTAAACAAAAAATTCAATCGAGTCTTAGATAATAATTTCGTAATTTAGTGCGTCAACAGTTCGTCGCAGATTGATAAACTGTGACGTAATTGTGCCTTCACACCATCTACTTCATTTTTAAATGTTATTTCGATATCAGATCGTCTATTACACAAACGATTTGTACAAACATATGAAAGCAGTGAGAACTCTGTTGAAAAAGGTCAACTTTCCATTTTTTTTACAATCCAAGTAGACGGAGAACAACTGAAGTGTTGTTACAAATATTGTCATTTCATATTAGCTTAGCAAACATCGTACAGCTTGGAAGTAATGTCAATCTCTCATAACTACAATATACAACAGACGGAACAAATCCACAGTTGGAAGAAATGTGACTAAGTTCATTATGTAAAAGTGTGCTATCTGGTAGGTTCGAACCCAGAGTCATCTACTCTAGTTTGAGAAGTACGGTAGTACCATTAGCTCTCACATGAACAATTTGACTCGAAGCCCAGTTACATAAAATTATACATGGTAAATGAGTAACTTTACTTATGTGGCTATCTCAAAGAGTAGATTTTATTCTCAATGGTTTTCGTCCATAAACCTTTGGTAGGAATACACTTAAATACATGGCATTATACTGAAGTCGAACAAAAGAATGAGCACAAAAAAGCATGTGATACAACAATTGGATAAAATGAGTTTGGAAACAAAATTAATGAGCCAGTGGTGTAAGAAACTTTACATATATTTGTCAACAAAAAGATATAAATAATATCCCTATCCTTGTCGCTTACGAAGTAAGTTACGTATAAATTATGTTACTTAACAGGAAAAACATTTTAGCGGTTAGAAACTAACTATAAGATAATTTGATCTGCCTAAGAAGTATGTTAACAAAAGTTAGCTATGCTCAGCTGATTGGTTGACGAGAAATTGATCAATTTAAGATGCTAAATATTGTAATACAGTTAAATTAAATACTGTATCCATGGTTACACTACGTGACCATCGATATATTCGTTTACCAACCAAATGGATAAAACTGAGTTCATTTATTTCAGGCGAATTATTCAAAACCTTAAAATTCCTAGTGAATGAGTTTATTCAGACACGTACATACATATAAGAATCGAGCAAAAAATTTAATTAACAATAAAATTAAGACATACTAATCTTTTACAGTGATATAAAAATGACAAAATATGGTATTTAGACAGGAATTATTGGCAACTATCTATTATGTCATGTTAAGTGTAAGGCAACCCAACCAACTAGGATAAAAATAGAAATGTAGTCCAAGTTAAGTGTTGAAATGAAACTTTTAAGTATATTCCAATATTCAACATTAACTAATTGAATGGAAAAATAATTTAAAATATAGGGTATGATACACTCAGTGAATATAAAAACCTTTCGAATAAACTCAGTAGAAATGTAAGAGCATGACAGTGATAATTTTTCAAATCAAATGAATTTACCTAAACAATTATAACCAAGTTCTTATCTATTATCCCTCCCTCAATAAATGGTTTATCATGTGTATCGAATTGCTTATTCAGATTAATTCTAGTTGCAATTTGAAATCTACTACAATGTACAATAACCAAGCATTTATCTTCTAATGGACTTCTAAACAGGGTTGAAGCACAAATCTTCATCAACGGAATAAAAATGTTTATCATTCATCACCTAACTAACAGATCGAAAATTAAATTGTTATGTCCAGCCTTTTGTGGGAGAGAACCAACCAGCTTCCAGCGGAAGAGGAAATTAGGAAAAGACGATGGAAATGAATAGGACACACATTGAGGAAATCATCAAACTGCATTACGAGGCAAGCGTTAACTTGGAATCCTGAAGGGAAGCGGAAAAGAGGAAGGCCAAAGAACACATTACGTCGGGAAATAGAAGCGGATATGAAAGGGATGAATAAGAACTGGAAAGGATTGCCCAGGACAGGGTTGGATGGAGAATGCCGGTAAGCGGCCTATGCTCCTTCACGAGAAGTAACAGGCGAAAGTAAGTAAGTAAGTATATACTTCACAGTTTACTGAAAATCGTATTCTAGTGTTTTAACATACTATTCATTTTGTTAAAATTGAGTTCGTTAAGTAGATCGTTAGTTTAATCGTGAAACATTTATTGACATTTTAGATAACATCATCATCAAAAACTTTAGATAGTAGTGAACTATTATAATTTCTCCACAAGTAAATAACCACTCATTTTGTCAACGCGAAATTTAACTTGATGTTGTCAACACTTTCGATTGTCTGATTGTTTATCATTACATTTTAATCTCCTGAAATGCTAATTTTCATCCTTTTTTCAAGGACACTATAATCTTTCGTATTTTTAATGGAAAGCATTTATATTGTTTAACAACAAAGTTGGTATTAATTCACTTGTTTTCATTAAGTGTATATATATATATATATTATGAAGTATGAATAACGATCGAATTCTAATTTTCTATCGATGAGTTAGTGACTAACTTGACCTACTTATTACTTTCAGACTTTTTTATTACGTGACCACTATTTACACTTGATTACTGCGTAAAATGACTACTCTCTAAGTGAAACTATTAAAAAATCAAGCCAATCACAAGTTCAGCTAAAAATAGAAACCTTTTCAGAAATATTAGTAAATCTGAGCAACAGGCATTCTCAAATTAAGTTATATGCTTTTTGGCACTCAACATGGAGACGACTCAATATAAAAATTGAATTCCCTAAGAAATCGTACAAAAGTTACCAATAGGAGCCGAGAAAAGTCTGCTCTGTTCTAATGTACCGGATTACAGAATTGATTGATTAATTAATTAATTGTTATGTTGATAAATGATATTGGTTCAGTACATACTGTCGTCTAAACCACGTGGAATTTTACTATTTATAAAAAAAATAAATTACCATTATAGTTCGGATTCTTCAGTCTCATGACACTCATGCGATTGTAAGCATGAATGAGATAACTTTACGGAAAGTTGCTGATATGAATAAATGTTTGACTTGTTAAAATTTAAAATCCTAACTGTTTATTAAACTCTATTTTACGGAAAATTCAAAGGTATCTTTTTTTAAACCTCTAGTTTGTCAGCTGTCAACCAACTGTATTCATCATCAATATAAAAACACAACAATAGATTCGTTAAATTAAATTATTTTTTAAACTTATATATGACTTATGGATTAACCTTATACATGTTTACTACTTCTCCACTGTCACGTGTAGTCATACTAAAAGAAATCTTAATATCGATATCAAATATACTGTCGATCAAGAAAGAGTTAACTTTCTGGGTGTGCATATTAATAATATAACAAACCGCGAAAAGTCACCCATAATAAGTACCATAATTCAATGACTAATGATTACATGGGTAATTTAGGATAGCTGTTTCTTTTTATTGGTTCAAATTTGTTAAAAGCGCCGAATTAAAAGTACATAAATAAACCCGACACATAGTCCCAACAAATTTAAAGCTTAGATGATTGTCATCAAGATGTAATAAGTTTGAAAACATTCTCATTTACTGTCAACATATTCATATTTACTATCCAACTCATTACAAATGAATACATGCCAATCACTTTTTTATTTAAAACAGTTTGATATTCGATATCTAAGCAAATAGATCATAACTTCATGTTAAATTTGTTACAAACAGGGTTAGATTATTTATTTTCTACACGTTAGTCTCATTGTTGTTTCAAAATACTGACAAGTTAATTATGAGAAAATTATTCAACTACCAATGTGGTGTATGCTATTTATGTTGACAGATATAAGTAGTATGTAATATCGATCGGAAGTGGAATATCTGCCAACAGAAGCTTGAATTAAGAACAGGAAGGGAAACAGAGAACAACTAGAATAACAACAGAATTGGAAAAATCATGAAGCATGTAAACGACAACTGAATGAAGATATGCAAACAATGTATTTAATGTATGGTTTTCGTATTTTACCACGACATGGTGTAATTTCGCATGAACAAATAAATTGGTCGATCATATCAATTCTTCGTTCACTACACCACTACTTAATAAATGAATGAGAACATTTAGCTTTCAAAACCGTTAAACCAATCAGTTGCTAGTTAAAACTATTTAATAATTTACATGAATCTTCTAAAAATGTACCATACATAAAACGAGTAATTTAAACGTTATAGTTTCGAATTATCAATTCATCACATTAGCCTCTACAACAAAGTGTGTACAGTTAGTTTAAATTAAATAATGAATAAAAATGTATAGTTACAAGTAAAGATTAAATTGTAATAAAATTCTCAGCAAGGAATACTCAATACAACGGGAAATCATACTATAACTTTGTTATTTAAAAGAACGTATACAATGTTTTATTTACAATTAGTTAGTTAATCCTTTACAAAATTTGTCAAATATTCAAATGTATCGACTGAGTACAAAATATAACCGATTCAATTTCATTATATTTATCTTAATTCTATGATAAGTAGTACATGAATAGATATGTAAATAATTAAAAAATTTGCTAGAAAAAAATCACAGAATGAATAGAAAAAAAAAAACATGAAAGAACTATTAAGTAGAAGTACGCATCAAATAATAGATAACTCGTGTGTATGCATGCAAATAGTTCATTATAACTTTCATCAACATTCAGTTTATTGATGAGGAAATATTGTCAGTCAGTCAGCCTCAACATGGGACCTGGCACATATATGCATCAGTCCAACTTGCCATACCGCATTAGCACAACAAGATGAACACCGGATTCAGAGAAGCAATTAATTCAATCATGGTAATATATAAAAGAAAGACTACATGTATGGAAATAGTAAAGGAAGAAAGAATTAATTCGTAGAAAGAAAGATATGAAGCGATTTTAACCTCACAGATTAAGGGAAGACAAACAGTGTATACACCTACGCCATTCTGATCGATTCTGAGCCATGTCACCAAGAGCCTCCAACCATTGGTCACGATAGTCACGCAGACCCCAACCAAATAGTCTGCGTCTACCAACATGGCTCAGACTAGAAGTTAGTGACTTGAAGCACTGATGCCACGTTTTGGTTTGGCTGCCTTCAACTTTCTTCCAATCATCCCTAAAACCGGTTAGCAATGCGCGTTGTGGTAATCGGTGTTCAGGCATACTTAACGTGTGACCCAACCATCTGAGTCGATGAAGATTTACAATCTCATCAACTGATTTACCATCATTTCCTATTACTCTGTGTATCTAACCTCACTATTACTTACCCAGTGATCCCAGCAGATGCGAGCAATATTTCTAAAATATCTGCGATCAAATACTACTTTCGTCAGACACCAACCCATTAGGGCTGATCAGACTTCCGAGATAAGCGAAGTTGTCAATGCGTTCGACTACTTCACTCCCTATCTTTAGTTCAGGTGTTGACGCAAACCAGTCCTGAAGCAACAACTTGCGTTTAGAGGGAGAGAAGCGCATCCCAAACATTCTGGCATTGTTGCTCAGTGCTACCAAAAGACTCTGTATTTTATCAGCATCTTCACCAAACAGGACTATATCATCTGCGTATTCTAAGTCGATACGTGAACCTCCTGGTAGATCGATTCCTGAAAATTCAGTCGACGAGAACATTATTTCCAACAGTAGGTCTATAATGAAATTAAACAGAAATGGAGATAGCGGACAGCCTTGCCGCACACCACTTGAGGTTGCGAAATCAGATGATAGTTTACCATAAGCTCTACTGACAGAAAACCTTTATTCTACACACTATAACTACAAGAAAATCAGTAAACTGCATATACAACCCTGGAGGAATTGTAATCCATTTTGTTACAGTACATTTTTTTCATCACTGATTTTTCATTTACTAACTAGCAAGTAACTACTTATAGTTTTAGGTCGGATATTTCATTCTAATCATTTATTAGTTTAATTTCCTAATGTATATACAAATGCTCAATCACTTGGTTAGTGGTTTCATCTTTTAAAATCTATTTCTATTAAGATATGGGGATCAGTTATGCTAATGAACCAGCAACTTAAGCTAACTGCTTCAGTTGTATAAATAATTTATTTAATTAACTAAGCCACAACATTTCCGAGTTTCAATATGTTGTAATAAACATCTAACTATTTGAGCGACGACCAACAGAATTAATTGTGAAAAAAAGAAGTGCTCATATAATGAACACATGAATTAGACGAACGTTACACAATAAAAATGTATTGACGAGCTGGATTCGAGACTTTCTGATAACAGACATAAATAATACTTGTGAACACTTGATAATTATAATAGCCAATTACAGTCATATAGTATTGTATGAACAAAGCAATCTTAACAGTCAATGATAACTAGAATATCGACTTAATAATCAAATGAAAATGAATTGTTTCAAAAATCTGTTTGACTTTTTTAATGAGGCTTTCACAATTGGTTAATCACTCAGTAAGTAGTGACCATTTTCATGCATGAAAAGTTTTTTCTACTGTTGATCGATATAATTCAACATACATGAAGTAGTCAACAGCAAACATCAGACCTAGGTTTCATCCCGGTTGGCACTCGTCAATAAGGTGTACCTGTAATCTTGCTCACTAGCGTACTCGATCCTGTTTCACCCAGCTTGACATTCAGAGACGTTATCATTAAACTATTCGGGCCGTGACTAACCTCTTGCAGGACGGAGATGTATTCGCAGTCGATTAATCACTGGATAGTGACTAGCATCACGTTATTTAAACAACTATCAAACACCAGGAAGCATTGGAAAGCTGCTTCGTCCTAGTGTGGGGCTCATAGGAAGTGAGCATCCATGGTACCACCTAAGACCGAACCAAAGACCTTCAGTCCTCATGGCAAGTGCTTAACCTCGAGATCACTGGGTCGGAGTCCAACACTTTAAATTTAATTACTTTCCCTAATTGCAGAGAAACGGTCTAAATACATAAAACAATATTGAGAACGAATAGTTGAAACAGTTCTTAAACTGAACATAACCCATGAAAAATAATGCATAACGAATAACGATTTACAATTTTTTTCATTCCTAACAAAAATCCAGTTTCAGATTAAATAACTAAGACAGCAGTATTCTTGATAAACATGATAAGACTATGGTAAAGAACTATGAATAATCTGACGAGAACATCAACTCACGTAGTGAATACTGGTAGTATAGCTAATTGAAAACAAGATCCAAAAGTTTCACGGAAATTTTCTTTTATCCCCAAATTGAATAGAGTCTTATCAGGTTGACCGCCACGTAATCTTGGATAGTGAAAAGTTTCTATTGGATAGTAAGAAAAGTATAGTGTTACAGAATCAATGATCAACTATGTTAAATAAAAGCAAAAAACTCATAGTTTAAGAACCATCTACTTCAACCGAGTATTCACAAATAAACAAAAAAAATGCTATTCAGACATTTAGAGATACTAAATAGAAACTTAAAAGACAAGAACAACAAACTTTGTGGAATGAATTGTGAATTTATTTCATCATTTCATATACTTTAAATCTTCCACATACACATTGATTTGAATAAATCAATAAAATGTTACATAAAGGGTAATTAGTTTACTAATAAAAAAGATAATTATCATTACTTTTCATATTCACATAAGTTAATCTATAAACTGAACTTGTATGAATATCTTATGAGTTTATTTATCTTGCCTTATAAACAATTAAAAGTTCATTGAGCTGACACTTATACACACAATCAGCTAAACAAAATCAATTAACATAGAGTATTCAAATAAGCTTGTATCCTTGTCCTTGAAATTAAACACTAGGTATGAATTTTAATAGTTTTATTTTTCTGGAAAATATTTTCTTATTGTTTATGAAGTCATTTCTAGTCACTAATTTGTGAATCATCTTAGTTAAAATCAATAGTTTAAAATTATCTTAATGAAAAGAAACAAATAATTTAATACTTTTGCCTTGTTTTTATCATGGTATCATCTTTGACCTAATGGATCAAAAACTTCATTTCTTGATTGAGTATTACATGTAAAATAACATTTGTATATCTATGTTCATTTAGAGGAAATCATTAAACTGCTCAATAAACTAACAATCTATACTGAACATATATTAGTTTGATTTATCTTTATTGAGGTAGTTCGATTCCTTTTCTTTCTAGTGTAAAATAAAAGCTTACTGACGTATTATACATTTTATATTGGTTGTTACATTGTATTTACAAATATTTGGTTTAAACGAGAAAGATTAAATATCAATAAAGATAGATGTTAAGCATTAGTTTCGAGTATTAACCAACTCCATGTACATTTGTATTTTGTTTCTTCACAGTTCAAAATAAGATTTAAAGATTCGTATTCTTTTTCCTAACCTATTACCATAACTGTCATACAATATTTAATTGAATAAACAAGAAGACATGCGATCCGTTTAGGGTTATCTAATTGTAGGATCATATTTCACTACAAACAATAGCACAAAAAACAACAGTAACTGTATACCACACAGACAGTCTTACTAACGATACATTTAGTGTGACGATAATCTAATGTATTAATACAATGCTTGAGAAGAGCTCGTTTTCAGGCGTAAAACAATCCTACAGAATAAACACAGAACTTCTTTCAGTTACACCCCTAATTTTTGACTGACGATATATATCTTGAAGTATTTCCCATACATTTAACACAATACAGCGAAAATGGACTTAAAATATCCAAGTGTCCCATATTGTAGATGAAAACAACTTATATAAACGAACAATCTTGTTATCAATTAAATCCTTACCAGATTTTACTCTAATATACAGTAATAGTTATATTCATATAAGAAGAATGGATTAACATAACTAAACATAAAAACGAACTATCAATCAATAACGAATTAGTTGTGTGAAAGATGAAAGAAATTGAAGATTAAAATATCAAAAATATTCTAAGGTAATCTTATACAAAAATTATATATATATATATATATATATATATATATATATATATATATATATATATATATATATATATATATATATATATATATATATATACGATCCATTCTTCATGGTAGAGTTTACCCAGTGTTTGACAATCTATTTTAGTTGTACGACACCATCTCATGATTACAGTGCATCAACGATGGTGCTTAGAATAAATCTGAGATCATCAATTATAAGAGGATTAAACTTAATATGCACTAATACCAACAGAATAATCTATTTAAACAGAAAAAGACTCAGTTGTCAAATTAAGAACAAAAAATTAGGAAAACTGAGCAAAAGTATAATATATTCTATTTAAGAAACTGAACAGTCTACTGTTTTTTTCAGTAAATCATAAATATATGAATAGCTTTCCATACATATTGGGATTTTTATTGTAAATACAGTTCTACATAATATATTCAAATATTTTACGTGGTTAGAAGGCTGAAAGTATATGGATGAGGAAACCTAACATGATCTCAAAACAAATCAATCATAATATATTCAGGGAGTATAACTGTAGTTTAGAGGTTAAAGCACTCGATTATTAAACAATCAAGAGCAAAAGTTCGAATCCGGCCCCAACTAATTTAGTTCGGATAGTTGGTTAATATCATCATAACTTTCACACATATAGTATGGCTTAAAAATAAGTAGACAAATTTATACTCCGTAGTTGAGTTACATTAAATTGGTCAAATCATATGTTTTCAAATTAAAGCTAAACTACTAACTTGTCATGCTAATTTCAGCTCTCAAATTCTACTTTAATCAATAACCTAATTAAACAACTTGATCAAGTTTTCAGTAAGTACCTTCTTCTTGGTTAAATTATCCGAAATTTCCTAACTAAACGGAATAATTTCATTGTTCCGAATGAAAAATAAAATCTGAAGGAATTTTATTCTGAACAAACAAAAATATAACACTCAATTTTATTGTCTAGTTTGCACGAATAAACTACTTACCTAAAGTTGATAGATTTATTCCAACTAAATACATATGATATGAAGCTAAGCCAAGTTGACAAAGACCAAACATAGCAGCCACAATAAAAAGGAATAACACTTGAAATCGATCAACTGAGATGTTATTTGGACACTGAAAACAAAAAATAATCAACACATCAAAAAATGAACTTACTACTAATTAAAATTTACGGAGGTAATTATATGAACAGATAGCTACAATACACAAGTTTCTCAATGTGAAACTTGGTACAGACGAACATCTGTTTAAGTTGCTACACTGTAAAATATCAAAGCAAGAAGTAATTAACAAGATGAGAAGTAAAGGAAACTAATTCCTATGAACTAAATATAGAAAATATAGTTTGATATGAAAGAATGAAATGTAATGTTAAAAAAAATTATGTAGTAACAGTGATAATGACAAAAAAATTCAAAATTTAGAGGAAGATAATTGCCAACTCAAATATAGGGTTTTCTGATATGAAGAGAGGAACAAAAAAGAAATGAAGAACAATGGAAGCTATTTTCTCGAGAAACTGTTTCACTTAATTAAAAGTCTGTGAAATACTAACATTCAGTTTCCATCTCATATTCTATAAAGTACAAGCCTTTCGTTTAATGCATAAATCATTGTCACATTCTTTTCTATTCCACAATTACTGGAATTTGAAAATAACATTTGCGTCGAAAGGGGTATGAGGAATCAGGATTATAATTTAGGGTTAGGAATTAAAGTGAACAATAAACACTTTTTAAAAAGTTTTTATCTCTGATTTTTTAAATAACTTCAGCTAGTAGTAAAAATTATCTTTGACACAGTTTTGTAATAATATGTATCAGTAAGATAACTGGCAGATACATACATACGATATTTGTATATAAATATGAATGAAGAATATGATTTTCAATTAATTTTCATCAGGCTCTAGAATCATAAATCTAAATTAGTATTCCAAAACGATACCCAAGTTCAAGGTGAAAGCATTGTATGAAACTATAGCATATGAATTTCAAATCGTTGCAGATTAAAATAAATAATAATGAAATATGCAATAAGAAGACAAAGATTATTGGATCTATGTGATACATTAGCCCAGTACATTTCGAACAGTCTCTATTTTTTTCTATAACCAAAGTTTATGCAATGCTAAATTGGTGGATATAGTGCACTAATTTCATATTCCTGGACGAAAGCAGAGAAATATATTAACTTCTCAACATTTCAAATCGCTAAAAGAACCACAGACAAACCCTGATATTATCTTGCTGAAAGTTGATAAAAGATCAGGTGTGGTTATTATGAACAAATGTGGATATAAAAGCAATATATTATCTATTGTCAGGGATAGAAGTAAATTCATCCCTGATGTTGAATTTGAAGGTATTAGTAAATTGGAAAGAATAAACAAAAACCTAATGAAACTGCTACACACAAATATCATTGTGCTATGTTTGAAGCGATTACGAGTTCATCTAGTCTGCGAACAGAACAAAGACTCTGTGACCAAAGACCAATAAACTACCTATTCTGATGCGTCCCAGCCCCGCTAACTAGAGAGAGAAGTCCAAGCTCGAACAGGGAAATATATTCCGCAAGTAGCGAGAAGCACTAGCAATCACGAAAAGTCTAGTCGGAAACACACTCATTTATATATTGGTTTGCACACCCATTTTTCATTAATAATCAGAATAAATCACATATATGAAAAACACTTCATATCGTATGTTATACAGAATAAAATGTCATAGGGGAAAGCGAGACAAATACTATACTGAGTGATCACCAAATTGAATTTAATGGAATTAATGTTGAATAAAATTCATAATGAGTAAACCAATCTAATTTTGACTTTTCATCCCGTCGTAACACATTGATAAAAAGGAATTTAATTTTTTAAAACCTATGGGTCCTAAATATCCTCATTTATATGGACGAAATAAAATTCGTAAAACAAGCATTCCTTTACGCTCCAATTTCTATTAATTTATCGATCAACTACACAGTCTGGCTAAATGGCTGACGAAAACGCTAGATCCTATCCGAATGCGTTTATGTAAGTATTTTCTGAAGGATTCTTTTGGTTTGGTCGATTATTTGAGTGATGTTATGGTGCATGGTGTAGTTTGTAACACCAATGGGAAATGGAAACCCTAGCAACAGAAGATTAAGAAGATCGGATCGAAGAAAATAGAAACGGAAACAGAAAGGAATTTCAAATAGGAAGAATCATAAAGAATATAAAGGACAAAGGATGGAATTTCGCAAACGACGTATTCAATGTATAGTTCTCATATTCTGCCAAGACATTCTGTAATTTTGTGTTAAAACACATTAGTTGTTCTCATCCGTGTTCTCGTTCACTTAAAGTATTAATATCAAGAGGAAGACAATACGTTTTTTTGATGTGAATCCCCTGTTCACAAATGTAGCTTTAAAAAAGACTATCGATATTTTATGAGACTACATATATCTTTGAAAAACTTTACATCACCTGTTCCTCTAACAATCCTTAAAGGATTGTTACTATTATGCACTGAAAAAGTCAAGTTCACATTTGAAAGTGAATACTTTCGCTAAATTGATGGAGTTGCCATGGTTAGTCCATCAGGACCATTATTGGCTGACGTGTTTATGGAACATGTTGAAAATTTAGCTGGAGACCTAATTCTAAACATATCCCATTATGAGAGATATGTGAATGACATCTTAATTACCTGTGAGGAAAAGGAAGATATTTATTGTTTATTCAATAAACTTAACACTTTAAAACCACACCAGTCTTTCATGTGGAAAGGGGAAAAACAACCAGCTTCCTTTTTAAAACATACTCATAAGTAGAGAAGACAGTTCAACCAAACGATCCATTTTTAAAAACCCAATTTGGATAAGCTAAAATCTTAGTTATCATATTGCCCAAACGGAATTGATGATGAACCTATTAAGTAAGGTTGATAATATTTGTACAAACAATACTATCGATGACGAAGTAAAGTTACTGGAAAAAACATTGATGGAGAGTGGTTGTACTATAAAATTCATAAGTCGATGGTAAGGTCACAGTAAAGTGAGACGTACTACACTTTCGCCACGAAAAAGCCAGTTTACATCACTCTACCATTCAAAGGTGAACCGAATAACCTTGTGTTGAAACACAGGCTCAAATCAGTTATTAATAAAACGTACTATGAAACAAAGGTCGTTATTACTGAAAACACAAGTTTCATGCTTCATCAAAAACATAGATAACATGTAAACGATTGCGTCACACTTCATTGTGTTTATTATTTTAAATGTGTGTGATCACACATATATAAGGGGTGGCAAATATGATTTGCAAACTAGAACTTCTGAACATGAACCGAAATATAGTGAAAATCCTCATTTTAGCATTAAGTAAATAAAGAAGGAACGAACCGAGCGAAGAAATTTATTTTCAATTAGTTTTTCATCATGACAGGATGAAATTCCTTTTAAATGATAAGAGTAAATTTCAGAAACCGGTAGTGAAGAATGATATGGCAGACAAGACTGAAAAGCAACCAATAGATCCATTGAAACAAATTGAACAACAAGGTTTTACTTTGGAAAAAGTGTTCGAAATATTGAAACCTACAGAGACGATTACACCAAGGCTATATGGTTTACCAAAAATACATAAAAGTGACTTGCCTCTTCGACCCGTTTTAGATATGAATAACAGTCTAGCATACCATAGCGAAATGGTTGGTGCAAATTCACAAACAATTGCACGAAAAATTGTTAAGCAGTGTCAAGGATTCTTTTGAATTTGTTGATAATATAAAAAATCTATCGGCCAAGACTAAGTACATGATATCATTAGATGTATCGTCCTTATTCACTAATATTCCCATACTCGAAACGGTGGGTTTTATTTGCAATGAATTAACAGAGAGGCGCATAGAAACCATAATTCCCGCATCCGCAATAAAACAATTAATTCTTAGACGCACGATGAATGTCTACTTTCGATTTAACAATGAATACTATGGACAATTGGGTGGGGTAGCCATGTGGTCACCATTGGGCCCTCTGTTGGCAGACATTTTTCTTGCGAAACTAGAAAATGGACCACTTAAAGACACAAATAGCCATTTAACATCTTATTGTTGGTATATAGATGATACTTTCATAGTATTAGAAAAAGAACAGGAAAACGAGAATTTAATTAACATATTTAATCAGTCAGTCAACTACAGGATAGGATCAAGCACATATATGCATCAGTCCAACTTGCCATACCGCATTAGCACAACAAGATGAACACCGGATTCAGAGAAGCAATTAATTCAATCATGGTAATATATAAAAGAAAGACTGCATGTAAGGAAATAGTACAGGAAGAAAGAATTAATTCGTAGAAAGAAAGATATGAAGCGATTTTAACCTCACAGATTAAGAGAAGACAAACAGTGTATACACCTACGCCATTCTGATCGATTCTGAGCCATGTCACCAAGAGCCTCCAACCATTGGTCACGATAGTCACGCAGACCCCAACCAAATAGTCTGCGTCTACCAACATGGCTCAGACTAGAAGTTAGTGACTTCAAGCACTGATGCCACGTTTTGGTTTGGCTGCCCCTAACTTTCTTCCAACCATCCCTTACACTAGTCAGCATTGCGCGTCGTAGTAATCGGTGCTCAGTCATACGCGACACGTGGCTCATAGTTTAAGGGGAACTTATTTAGTAACATTCATCCATCAATTACTTTTAAAATAGAGGAAAAATAGAATAATAGCATATCGTTTCTACATGTCCAACTAACTAGAAGAGTAGATGGAACATTAAAAAGAGGGATAGATAGAAAGCCTACAGTTGGACAATATACTAATTTCTATAGTGCTATACCAATCAGATACAAAAGAAGCTTGATAAAGATCATGACTCATTGAGCTAGAATGATTTGCTCGGATGATATCATTATACATGAATTGGATAATATTCTTACTTTGCTTAGTAGGAGTGGATACCCAACGAAATTCATCGACAAGATGAAAACAAAAACAAGGATACCTACCATTTCGAAGAAAGTACTATTCTTAAAATTACAATTCCTAAATGATGCTACCGAAAAAAGTGTGATTCAAAGGTTAAGAAAGGCGGTACAGAAAACATTTAATGCGGCCAAACTGAGTGCCGTCTTCTATAACCGCCCTATAATAAGAACGGTTAATAAAGACAGATTGCCTGAATTCGCCAAATCTAGGTGTATTTACCAATTCAACTGCTCCTGTGGAGCTAGTTATATGGGGCGTACAATTCGGCAAGTCCGTCATCGCATAACAGAACATCACCCACTTTGGTTGAACAAAAGACGGGTAAGAATGATTAAGATTTCTATCCTCACTCACTTGGTGGACACAGGTCATCAAGTTTAATTATATAAAGCTTTTAAGATTATCCACCATATTTCATCAAATTTGCCTTATGGTTTACGAGCTTGTCTTTTGCACACTGCTGAAGCCGTTGGAATCTATGTTCACAAACCAAACCTTTGCATCCGAAGAAGTTTGTAAAACCACTTTCGTTGCCTTGGCCGTCGGTATAGGGGAGTTTGTAGCATAACTTTGTTAAACTATTTTCGTATTTCTTTCATTTTTTGTATTTTACTTATTCTCAACATTCGTCTCTTGATTCTTGCATAACTACTACACTACTGGCCACCCATCACAATATTTTGTTAGTTCCTTCTTATATATAAATATAAATATATATATATATATATATATATATATATATATATATATAATACTCGATGAGTATTATTTCATTATTATAAATATCTTAATGTAGAACTATGATGGAAAACTAATTGGAAAGAAATTTCTTCACTCGATTCTCTCCTTATTTATGTACCGAAATGTTTACAAAAAACTAATAAAATCAAATGGCCCAGTAAGAGTAGATGATGAACATCAATCGTCCTCTCTTGCTAAATACATAGTTGAAACAGGTCATAAGATTGATCTTACCTCAACTTTCGTGGCTCTGTACAAGAGTGTATACTAAGGTTTATTAAAACCTTGAGAATACGAATATGCAAACCCCGTTTGTATGTTCAAAAACTGCTTGTTGTCACCATAAACCAGCTCTGGTAATATTCTTTTGTTACCCAGAGTGGTGAGTTTCACTTTGTTTTATTTTCTTTCTTATCCTTGTTTCCTCTTACCTTCTGTTTGTCTAGCTGATCCTTTAATTTTTCATACACAAATGTTCCTAACAGGTATATGTGTGATTAAATTGTTCGAAATGTATTGCGTTAATATATCACATAAATCTGATAATCTTCTTATTACACTATCTAAATGATGAAAGGACAAAACTGATATAAATGACTTAAAAGCAAATCATACAGAGTGAAAATGAAGCTAATTTCAATAACTTACTCTCCAAAATTCTGCAAAATATGACGCTGAAGTACAAATAATAAAAAAACAATACACCACACCCCATGATAGAAAGACAATAAAGAATTTGTGATTATGAAATCCAATACAATTATTCGTCCTGGAGTAAAAGGAAAACAGAAGAGACAAAGAAACATATATATGGAAAGAAAGGACAATAACTGGGCAATAACCATGTAAACTATTTGGTAAGTAGAGATTTAGACATTTGGTTTTAGACATTTGTTTGTGTTAGAGCCTGTGATACTACCTGACGGCCTAGGCCTACGTAGGTAAAGCGTGTCCACCATGATCGCTATTGGCTTCTATTTTGAGCCATTTCTGTTGAAATGTTATAGCCAGGGAAAACTAATAAAATTCTTATTATTTAGGTAACAGGTAACTGTATCTTCCAGTATATTAAATGGTCATGATTTTTTATCATAAAGAAAATCCTATTTTGTAAAATTGATACACTCTAAACAGAGGATAAAATAATGAGAAAGATCTTCGTTACAGCTCTTAATAAACACGGGTGGTCGATCAAGAAACTCCCATTTACACTACCAGTTATTCGTTATGATGCACCACAATTGTGGTGCAAAAAATTCGATGCTCAACTTATTTATCACTTAATATGATTTTTCTTAGTAACACTAACTATTGTCAACCCTTACGCAACACAAGTGTGGCACATAAACCAATACACAAAATGTCGGATATTCATTAAGCTTCAGTAGTTAGAATAATACTATAAGATTATTTACGATTATATATATTGATTTTGTAATTGCACTAAGATAATTAGCAAAATTGTGTTGAAAGAAAGAAATGCATAAACGAAAACCATATTATTATACTACCACGAGTTATTAAAGCTAAATTTATTAGGTACAATAACCAGAAAATCAACTTTTTAGAAAAAAACTTCATTAATCATAATCTCCCAGTAGTTTCGTCATTTAATCCCAACAAGCGTAATCATGCATGCTTAAATATTAAGGAATATTTTTGTGAATTTTTAGTTGATAAGTAACTGCTTATATTCTATTGGTTACAATCAATCGGTTGATAATATGATATACAGATAACTACTGGCAACCGTTTCTAAGTGATGTAGATATCAAGAATTCAAGGAATCCAAGTGAAATACAATGTGGATTCATTGACGTACCCTAAAATACGTATGAACAAATAAGTAAATCAGCCTTTATTATTATACGTATATACCTAGAATATGATTATCTCAAACACTAACGATCTGTGAAATATCGGGACGACTTCTAAACACGGGAAATTTAGGACTAGCACCACAGTAAACAAAAAAGATTTTTTAAGACTGAAGAATATACACGCACTAATTTAATAAGCTAATCCACATGTTTTTGTCTACGGAACTTCAAATGTAGCAGAGAAAATGTGATTTCTGTCTCTACGCTTCAAGATAAGACATAATACAGTATGGATATGAAAAGTTAGTGAGAACAAACTGTTAAAGTATGTGGAACACAAAAACAGATATAACTGTATCAACAAGTATAAATAACAGATTTATCACCGACTTACCTAATTTTGAAGACCCTATTTCGCATTATACAGTTAACATATATCCAGAAAAGCTATAACTGCTGTTGTTTCATTAACCTGATATGACCTTATTGAGCCTAATCACTAATATGATTACCCCTTGTGATAGATGGGGATATATGAGCAAATTAGCTACTATTCTCAACGATGGAAGTTAGTTACTCTGTCCGGTGATTTGCCTACTTAGCCTTATATTTGGTTAAGCAATATTGTTTATTCGACAATGCTAACAGATCTCAGCCGTTCTTCAAAAAGATTACTGTCAAACAACAATATTAATTTCACCTCCCAAGTGAGCGTAATATTTCATAGCCACCTGACACTAAACACTGAATCAATAAGCTGAAAATAATTAAAAACTGGTAAAATTTATTCTTAATCTTCTTACATAAGTGTCAATAAAAAATACACTGTAAAACGTCGACTGTTTCGACAATATAGTTAATCATAATCATTGAATACACACTACGGTTGCAAATTAAGACTCTGAGGCATTCAGTCTTAAAATAACTCTGAATATCGGATAATCCTAAACACATGTCAATGCTACACAACTGCAACTGTTGACCAACAAATCAAAACACGGTCCCATTTATGCTACCCGTTAAAATATCCTAATAACAACGAATATTTAATTATTTAGTCAATTATTTTGTTTGGATTCCTCTCCAACTACTTTTAATTTAGCATTACAGCTTATTATCTGACAGTTGGTTGATAGTAATCAATCAACACAAATTTTATTCACTCATATGCACTTTTAATTTTATGATAAACAAAATGATGCTTTATTTATCTTTATCCGTAGCCAGAGGCTTCATTCAGTCACTGAATTTTGACAACAGCAGCACATATCATGCATATATGTCACATTCTGAATGTCCCATATTCTTACTTTTCATAAAATCAAAATTTGAACAATATTGGACAAGTGTTCACACAGACTTGTTGTAAAGATAAATTTTTGATATTCGGATTTCAAACATTTTTCTGAAGGAGCCCGGACTAGCTTGCCGAGCGAAACGTCAAAATTAAGTTCAATATAATCACTGAGTTTATTTCAAACATAGTTTTTACATCTAATGTCTTGTATGTATTTATTACCCGATTTCTGTCAATTTGTTAGTTCAAATTTTGACGAATTTTCATTTAAGTATAAACTTGATTAAAGAATGTCAAATAAAATTTACCTAAAATCTATGATAACTTAAAAAAATTTACATTGCCTTGAAACGTTATGTCTAAGATAACCATTGAAAACGCTTCGAAGACACGAAAATAACTACTACAGAAGTTACTTACCATGGACAATGATGATCCATTTTTAATAAGCATCTAAAATAGGGAAAACGGAGGACACAAATTAAAATCACTAACAGAAATTTGGATTAACATTTGAATAATAAGAGGATAGATTCAAAAAGTAGCCTAACTTATTCAAGCTTTTGTTTATTCAGCATAAATGATTAAGGGTACTATTCCGCATAAATTTAAAATTACCTAAACTATCAGGTACAACTGTATTCAGTCAATTCATCTTAAGATGTCTAGTGTTTCGCATTATTCATATTATTTCGTTATGACCCTTTCATGGTAACTCCCAAAAATGTGAAAATTACCTGATTGAAAATATATCCTTTTACTTTTAATAAAACTCAAATACTGAACAAAAGATTGTGTATCCTGCCCTGTATGAACCCTGCCCATCTAGTTAAGTGGAACGGGTTTCCAAACTGTGATATATATATATATATATATATATATATAACTCCGCCTGGAGTCCCTTTCCGGGGGCTACTGCCGGTCCCAAGCCCGGATAAAGGAGGAGGGTTGGGCATGGGGTTAGCGACCCCATCCCGTAGAAAACTAACTCGCTAAAAAAACGCTAACCAGAAAAAATTATTCAAACCATTTAAACTCTGCCCTGGGAGTCAGGAGGTCTTCGTTTAGAAGAATTATGACGCCTCATGATGAAAGCCGAGTTTCTTCGGAAGTCACGAGGCCGATGCCCCTTCTGACAACCAGAGCAACCATTTATTTAGGTACATGGAATGCTCGCACAATGTGGGAGACTGGGAGAGTTTTTCAAATTGCTGCAGAAATGAGGAGATACAATTTAGAGGTGCTTGGGATCAGTGAAACACATTGGACGCAAGTTAGACAACAACGACTAGCTTCATGGGAGCTGCTGTTATACTCCGGACATGAACAAGAAAATGCCCCACATACACAAGGAGTTGCATTGATGCTGTCCAAACAAGCACAAAATGCACTTATAGGATGGGAATCTCATGGACCAAGGATCATCAAAGCCTCCTTCAAAACAAAGAAAACAGGGATTACAATGAACGTCATCCAATGCTACGCGCCTACCAACGACTACAATGAAGACGCTAAAGATCAATTCTACGATAGGCTGCAGTCAATCGTCGAGAAGTGCCCAACAAAAGACCTGACTATTCTGATGGGAGACCTAAATGCCAAGGTTGGAATTGACAACACCGGATATGAAGAGATCATGGGACGACACGGACTGGGAGAAAGGAACGAAAATGGTGAGAGATTTGCAAATCTATGTGCCTTCAATAAACTGGTCATAGGCGGCACTATATTCCCACATAAACGCATACACAAAACCACATGGACTTCACCGGATCACAGCACACAGAACCAAATCGACCATATCTGCATCAACAAAAAGTTCAGGAGGACGATGGAGGACGTGAGAACAAAGAGAGGAGCTGATATAGCATCAGATCATCACTTGCTGGTCGCCAAGATGAAATTGAAACTCAAGAGGCACTGGACAACGGGGAGGACAATATCACAAAAATTTAATACGGCTCTTCTTCGGGATAATGACAAACTCAATAAATTCAAGATAACCCTCAGCAATAAGTTCCAAGCATTTCATGATCTACTCAATGGAGAAGGAACTACTATGGAGAGCAACTGGAAAGAGATAAAAGAGGCAATCACTTCAACATGTCATGAGGTTCTGGGCCAAAAGAAGCACCATCACAAGGATTGGATCACGGTCGATACACTGGATAAGATTCAAGAAAGGAGGAACAAGAAAGTAGCAATCAATACCAGTCGAACAAGAGCAGAAAAAGTCAAGGCACAAGCTGAATACACAGAAGTAAACAAGCAAGTGAAAAGGAGCATCAGAACCGACAAACGTAAATATGTGGAAGATTTGGCAATGACGGCGGAAAAGGCTGCCAGAGAAGGAAACATGAGACAACTGTATGAAACAACAAAGAAACTCTCCGGAAATCACCGTAAACCAGAACGACCAGTGAAAAGCAAGGAAGGCAAGATAATCACCAACATTGAAGAACAACGAAACAGGTGGGTAGAACACTTCAAAGAACTCTTGAATCGACCAGCCCCACTGAACCCACCCAACATCGAAGCAGCACTCACGGACCTCCCAATTGATGTTGGCGCACCGACAATTGAAGAAATCAGCATGGCTATCAGACAAATCAAGAGTGGCAAAGCAGCAGGACTAGACAGCATTCCAGCAGAGGCACTGAAAGCAGACGTAGCGGCAACTGCAAGGATACTCCAAACTCTCTTCAAAAAGATCTGGGATGAGGAACAGGTACCAAAAGACTGGAAAGAAGGACTTCTAGTCAAAATACCAAAGAAAGGCGATCTCAGCAACTGTGACAACTACAGGGGAATCACTCTTCTTTCAATACCGGGAAAAGTCTTCAACAGGGTATTGTTAAACAGGATGAAGGACTCCGTAGACGCCCAACTTCGAGACCAACAGGCAGGATTCCGTAAGGATAGATCGTGCACAGACCAAATCGCAACTCTACGGATCATTGTGGAACAATCAATTGAATGGAATTCATCACTCTATATCAACTTCATCGACTACGAAAAAGCATTTGATAGCGTGGACAGAACAACCCTATGGAAGCTTCTTCGACACTACAGCGTACCTGAGAAGATAGTCAATATCATACAGAATTCCTATGATGGATTAAACTGCAAGATCGTTCATGGAGGACAGTTGACAAAGTCGTTCGAAGTAAAGACCGGTGTCAGGCAAGGTTGCTTACTCTCACCCTTTCTCTTTCTCCTGGTGATCGACTGGATCATGAAGACATCAACATCTGAAGGGAAGCACGGGATACAGTGGATAGCTAGGATGCAATTGGATGATCTAGACTTCGCAGATGATCTGGCTCTTCTATCGCACACACAACAACAAATGCAGGAGAAGACAACCAGTGTAGCTGCAGCCTCAGCAGCAATAGGTCTCAATATACACAAAGGGAAAAGCAAGATTCTTCGATACAACACAACATGTACCAATCCAATCACAATTGACGGAGAAGCTTTGGAAGATGTAAAAACCTTTACATATTTGGGCAGTATCATCGATGAACACGGTGGATCTGATGCAGATGTGAAGGCACGGATTGGCAAAGCAAGAGCAGCATATTTACAACTGAAGAATATCTGGGACTCAAAACAATTAGCAACCAACACCAAAGTCAGAATTTTCAATACAAATGTCAAGACAGTTCTACTGTATGGCGCGGAAACCTGGAGAACTACGAAATCCATCGTCCAAAAGATACAGGTGTTTATTAACAGTTGTCTACGCAAAATACTTCGGATCCGTTGGCCGGACACTATTAGCAACAACCTACTGTGGGAGAGAACAAATCAGATCCCAGCGGAGGAAGAAATCAGGAAGAAGCGCTGGAAGTGGATAGGACACACATTGAGGAAAGCACCGAACTGCGTCACAAGACAAGCCCTCATATGGAACCCTCAAGGTCGAAGGAAGAGAGGAAGACCAAAGAATACATTACGCCGAGAAATGGAGATAGATATGAGAAAAATGAACAAGAATTGGATGGAACTTGAAAAGAAGGCCCAGGACAGAGTGGGTTGGAGAATGCTGGTCGGCGGCCTATGCTCCATTGGGAGTAACAGGCGAAAGTAAGTAAGTATATATATATATATATATATATATATCCATCTTCCATGTACGAAAATTTAACAATAATAATGCATAAATTGAAGTTCAAAAAGTTATAGCTAATCTGAAACGAGGAAGAGCAGCTGATCCAGATGGATTGGCTCCAGATGTCTTTAGGTATGGTGGTGCAGTGTTAGTGATTAGGTTGACCAATATTTCAGCTAAAATCTGGGGACTGAACGTACTAACACCTGACTTGCCACAACCTCATATTGTCCCAATATATAAGAAAGGATCAAAATCGTCCTCTAATAACCATCGAGGGATTAGTTTGACTAATATAGAACCTAAAATACTAGACCCAATAATTACCGGACTCTTAAGATTCGTGCACTACAAACACGCGAAAATCAGGCTGGTTTCAAACATGGTCGTAGCTGCATAGACTACATATTCATCATTCGTCAGATTCTAGAACACAGACATACCTATCGGTACCCGACAATGGTAGTCTTTATTGACCTAAAAGTAGTATTTTACTCTGTAAACTGAGAGGTCATGTGGCAATGTCTTTCCTTGAAATATGCACCTCGGAAGTACATAAACCTTGTGAAGGCTCTTAACTCGAACGCTACCAGTAGAGTCAGAGCTCATAGAGAACTGTCATCTGATTTCGCAACCTCAAGTGGTGTGCGGTAAGGCTGTCCACTATCTCCATTTCTGTTTAATTTCATTATAGACCTACTGTTGGAAATAATGTTCTCGTCGACTGAATTTTCAGGAATCGATCTACCAGGAGGTCCACTTATCGACTTAGAATACGCAGATGATATAGTCCTGCTTGGTGAAGATGCTGATAAAATACAGTGTCCTTTGGTAGCACTGAGCAACAATGCCAGAATGTTTGGGATGCGCTTCTCTCCCTCTAAACGCAAGTTGTTGCTTCAGGACTGGCCTGCGTCAACACCTGAACTAAAGATAGGGAGTGAAGTAGTCGAACGCATTGACAACTTCGCTTATCTTGGAAGTCTGATCAGCCCTAATGGGTTGGTGTCTGACGAAATCTCGGCACGGATTCGAAAAGCTCGTTTAGCTTTCGCCAACTTACGTCATCTATGGTGAAGGCCAGATATCCGTCTATCAATTAAGGGACGAGTATACTGCGCAACAGTTCGTTCCGTTCTACTATATGGCTGCGAAACATGGCCTTTAAGAGTAGAAGATACTCGTAAGTTACTAGTATTTGACCACTAATGCCTTAGAAATATTGCTCGCATCTGCTGGGATCACTGGGTAAGTAATAGTGAGGTTAGATACACAGAGTAATAGGAAATGATGGTAAATCAGTTGATGAGATTGTAAATCTTCATCGACTCAGATGGTTGGGTCACACGTTAAGTATGCCTGAACACCGATTACCACAACGCGCATTGCTAACCGGTTTTAGGGATGATTGGAAGAAAGTTGAAGGCAGCCAAACCAAAACGTGGCATCAGTGCTTCAAGTCACTAACTTCTAGTCTGAGCCATGTTGGTAGACGCAGACTATTTGGTTGGGGTCTGCGTGACTATCGTGACCAATGGTTGGAGGCTCTTGGTGACATGGCTCAGAATCGATCAGAATGGCGTAGGTGTATACACTGTTTGTCTTCTCTTAATCTGTGAGGTTAAAATCGCTTCATATCTTTCTTTCTACGAATTAATTCTTTCTTCCTGTACTATTTCCTTACATGCAGTCTTTCTTTTATATATTACCATGATTGAATTAATTGCTTCTCTGAATCCGGTGTTCATCTTGTTGTATTTATTTATTATTTATTTTAACACATAGATATTGGTACAAGGAGACAACAAATACATGTGCGCCACACAGATTTCATTGGATATGTGTGAGGGCTGTGATACTGCCCGCGTTCCCAAACCGATACAGGTGGTTTTCTTAAGGGGCCACACCCCAAGCCTTTGACCAAAACGTCTGATCCACAAAGCAGTGAAGCATCGTAAGGAGATGCAGTCCCATGGTAGCCGGTGACCAACGATTGGTTCATACGCCATTTGTTCCCGCAAGATACTGGAGCCCATGTGCACCATTGGTTTGGGATCCGGTTAAAGCGCCGGACATTCGCTTTTCGTCTTCTCATTTTTGTGGACAACACCCCCGCCACGAGAAGGCAGTGAGTAGGACTTCCCTGGCAGAGGCTATATACGCGTGGCCATGTGAGAGCATTGCGGGAGGGAGAGCGGACTCTCCCCACTCTCGGCCATACCAGGGCATTTGGGGGCTAATGCGGTATGAGAAGTTGACCCGATGCATATATGTGCCCAGTCCTACTTTGTAGCTTACTGACTGATAAATCAAAAGAAACTAGATCAACGGTGTTGTGTTAACTTGGTTTGAGCATAGCACATATAAGATAGATATCTCATAATCTATAGAATATAGACGTTATGAAATACCAAACTCACACTCCACAGGTAGAACAGTGATGTGAACGATCGGGTTTTATTAGGGCACATACGTTGCACACACGAATCTTCCCATCTGAACCGGAAAGATAGACTGGCAGGTTTCGTTCTGCTACTATGGCTTCTAATATTGCATTTTGTTCAGATTCCTTCCCAGCAGCATCATTCAATGACTCCCATTCACTACTTGTTAGGTGGAACTATAATAAACAAATAAAACAAACGAACAGAAATTTAACAAAAAACGGAGCTTTTAGCACAAAGAATAGCATCAAAGAAACTTATCTAATGAAATTCCTTCAAGGTTAATGTGTGTAAGCTTTCTCTAGAAATATAAGATGACATTCACGAACCGAATTCCCGGTCGAGCCATCCATTACTTATGAATTCCTTAAACAAACACTACACGTTGCTATTATCAAGCAACTTTCGTATTTCATAAATAAAAATATGAGCAATTGAATAGAAATGAGAAAAAATCGTCACTGATCAACAAAACTGTCCTAGCCCAGTACTACAGACATTTGACGTTGGGAGAATGTCGTAAGTTTTAATACGATCTACCCAAATAGGTGGCGAGTCTGGGGGTATTATCAGTCCTCGTACAGGAGACGCTGTCAACCCAGTATACTCACTAACAAATTACCTGCGTCTTAGACTCTAGCAAAGCAGAATATTTGTATTGAAGTACACAGAAAGTATATATATATATAGCATCTTGAATCCTTGCAATTAACACTATATAAAGCTGATGAAAGTATTGTGTAACTCAACTCAGTAGTTGAAATTGTATCAAGAAGTAAGATTTAACGGAACACTTAATGTTTACCTTATGACAATTCCAATAAAAATCAGCATTTTTTCTTTTTCGAAAATCTCTGAACCTTTACATCCTTGGTTTTATGTAGAACGTAAAAAAACAATCCAATTTCAGACCATTAAAAGGACTTAATTAACTTATTACATAGTGTACATACTTATGTTGAATGACCAATTCAGGCATCATGAAATATGAGCTTTGAAAAATGGCTTTGGCAACTAAGAAATTGGAAAGACTCAAACATCATTTCGTGATAAGTATTGGTACTCTACTAGCAGGCATACAAAAAACTCGGTCACATGTCAAGCGCTTCGAATCATATTACATAAGCCCATCCACCACCCACCTAGAGGTTCAAAACTTAACGGAGTACGAGTGGGTTAGGAGAAAGAAGTGGCCAAGTCAAAACTATCAATCCATAAAATCCCTGACAACTGGATGAGCCAAGTGGGCAGGTATAGATCATTTGATTGAGGTTCTAGCGATAATCTCGAAGAAAGTTGAACTTGAATGAATTGCTTTAATGTATGAGATATTTGAATAGAACTTTAAAAATATCGCTGAATTCACTAAACAAGTGAACTATAACCGTATTTTGTAACGAAAAGTTGGAATGAAAACTCATCAACGCACTTACAAAACCGGCCAAAATTCAGAGTCTGAGATTAAATTCCCCTTTCCTAGTTTTTTTTTATATTAAATGAAAATAAAATATTAACTGATAACCTTAATACGAGCTATATTCAATTTAATCAGATGACAGACATTATTAAAACAAGATTTACAGTCGCAACTCAAGATAAGACTTAGAGTTAAGGTGTTAAAAAGGATTAACACGCTGGTAAAATCTGATAAAGTAATATTGATTCGGCAACCAATATAATTTCGACGCATAGAATGGTGGGAACATATATGTAGCCCTACCGAATTATCAACACATAAACCGGCTTACAGCCAGAAACTATGGTCAAAACGCACGAAAGGGGTGTGACAGACACTGACCTGTTTCGGAGGCTGAATAGGAGGTACTAGAATAGCTTTCATGTATGACCAGCAAAACAATATCAGGAACAAGTGGAAGAATATCAGAAAAAACACTAAAAGTAGAACTTAGTGTATTAAATTACCTTTTTCTGCCACATAATTGACCTGTACTAAATTAAAGTAGTGAAATATAGCTTAGACGAGTTACCTATACAAAGTGAATACACATAAGCATAATACGACCACCCGAGAACTAATAGTATAAACACTACAGGGACCCATCCAAAAATCTTTTGGCACTTATTAATAGCGCCTTTATTGTTACAACATGCCATCTCTAGACCGATTGGTAATTAGGAATCCTAGTCCCTTGCATTAGCACTCAAGGTCATACATTTCAAATAGCACTCGAAAACAAGTGACCTATTGAGTTCAGAAAATTAATATCAAATCTCAAACTTTGCTAAAAAAAATCAGCAACCTGATCGTCTCTAGAAGTCAGCTTCTGAGTGCTTGGCCAGAAGCTTTAGTTACCAAGAGGTACAATTCTTCTTATACTTTGTCTGAAGATCTAAAACTAAAGATTATGATTTGCATAGTAAGGACAGTAAGTCTACGACCTGTGTCAGCTCCTTTTTAGTGAGCTTCTGTAGGAAGCTAGTCTTCTCATAAATGAGTCAATTGAAGGTGCGGACAACACTGGTTCGCGAAACAGGTTTCAAGAACTCGGTGTGAAGACCTGTATAACATGGGTATTTTATTCGTTCTTGACTCTCCTACTCGCCTGTTATGTCCCTTGAGATGTCCCGATCAAGTAGGAAGAAAAAGGGATGTGTCAGGTCTAAGACCGTTTCTTAGTATTCTACACATCAGAACCAAATCACATCTTGATTTTCCGCTAGGACATAGTAAAGAGGTCTAGATTTTCAAACAGCTCTTTATGTGGTAAACTCGGGAGTTCCGAAAATCCAAGGGTAGCTGCTCTCTCTACGCTCTCTAGGATATCCAAGTCACCTTTCAAACAGGAGCTTACAGCCTAAACGCAATTTTTAAGTTTGAATCTCAACAGGGTTGTGTAAACTGTAGTGAATATAGTAGTATCTGACCTGATGAGTGTCCATCTTAAAGCCCACAGGGTTCTAAACCTCTTGGCTGCAACCTGGCAGCAGTGAGCAGTAGCTTTAACATCATGACTCACTGTCACCTTGAACTCATTGTGAGACCGAACTACGAGTATTGGCACTTCCCCGATGCTGTACCGATTGGCACATTGGCCGCGTTGATAGGTACCAGCCACTGTATTTAGACCAGCTAACCAGAATATTTAGGTCTTCCCAGAGAGCACAAGCATCTGTGTCCCCTGTTGTCACTTGCCAGAGTTTTACATCACCAAAGTATATTAACATTGAGGGCTCGACTACAAACGGTAGTTCATTTACATACAGTATTCACACTAGCATCATCCCTTCCATTCACAGGCAAGCTTATTTGTGGTGACTTCAACATGCCCGAAATTTCCTGGTTCCCAGTCAAGGCGCCGAAGCGTTATGAATCATTTATAGAATGTCTAGAGCTCGGACAATGGACTCAGTATGTCAATAGCCCTACCAGACATCAAAATATCTTGGACTTAGTCTTTACCAGTGGCCTCACCCCCAATACTGTGTATATTGGAAAACGGTTTCCAGGTAGTGATCATAACATTGTCATATTCAGCCTTAATATAAAAACCACAACCGGTAGACGTAAAACCGCAACACTTCGTAGAAACTATCGCAAAGTTGATTGGAATAACTTCCACAATCACCTGAGAATCACTGATTGGGGAACCTTCTTTACTGCAAACAATACCGACACACTAACCAATATATTTTATCCCAACATCAGAAGTATCATCAACAAAATCGCACCTTTAGAATGCTGTAGACCTACGGTCTCCAAAGATCTTTATATACCGGTCGGTACACGAAGACGTCTTCAAAGACATTGTACTCGATTCCATAACTTTAATGACTTTTCCTCTTTAGTGACGATGACTGAAATAATTATCCGAACAGAGGCAATAAGTACACAAAAAGCAGTCGCACAGGAAAAACGTGCAGTCGAACTTAACAATAACTCCTCTTCACTCACCATACTCCTTTAAAATAAACTTAAACGTCCCAAATCGAGAGGGAGCATATTCATTAAAGACAAACAAGTATACGAAGACCCTAAACTTGTTGCGGAACTATTTAGTGAACACATTTGTTGCTCACTAACTAACGAAAAACCACTAATCTATTCAGAACCAATCCCAGTACCTCCTTATGAAATTACTAATGTAAACTTTAATGTACAAAATACCTGTAAGGCAATCAGTACATTGAAACACTCATACACTGATGGACCAGATGGTATTCCAGCTAGCATGCTAAAACGTGGAGGTGATGATATGTGTGTTTTGCTTCTCAAGCTATTTGCGATATCACTCTCTACAGCGTGCTACCCTACTGCCTGGAAAACTACACATATCATTCCCAAAATTAAAACAGGACCTGTAGCAAATGTTGACAATTACCGACCCATAAACATAACTTAAGTGGTATCTAGAGTGATGGAAAAAGTAGTTAAGGCGGCTGTAGTCCAACATCTACTTACTAATAATCTCATCTCGAACTCCCAGCATGGATTTCTTAGGTCAAGATCATGCGATACATGCCTAGTAGACTACCTGAATGATATAACTCTGAAAAGAGACAACGGACTCCTTGTATCAGTGCTATTCTTAGACTTTAAAAAAGCCTTTGATAACGTCTCACATAAAAGGCTTCTCGTCAAACTGAAGTCCTTCGGAATAAACGACCCACTGTACTCATGGTTTGCTTCGTTCTTAACCGAACGTAAACAGATTGTAAAGTACAATGACTGTCTCTCATCACCTAGACCAATAACTAGTGGAGTCATCCAGGGAAGCGTATTAGGCCCACTCTTGTTTCTTATGTATATAAACGATATATGTAACACCATAACCTATGGGAAACCATACTTATATGCCGATGATATCAAGATAGTATACAGTTATAAGCCTGAGACCGTAAACGAAAGTGTACCCCTGATCCAAAATGACCTCAATAACTTAACTATCTGGAGTGAGAAATGGCAACTACCATTTAACCTCAACAAGTGCGGGATCATGCAGTTTGAAAAGCATCCCTATGAACTGCAACTTGATTTAAATAAAAGTAGAGTCCAGACACTCAAATCAGTACACGATCTAGGTATTAATTACACAAGAAGTCTGAACTTTGAAGAACATGCCTCATCTATTATTTCTAAATGTAGACGGCAAATTGGTTTCATAATGAGAAATTTCTTCACAACAGAGGCTAAGCTTACCCTCTATAAAATATGTGTACGACCTTCCCTGGAGTACTGCTCTTTTATCTTCTCTAATATGAATACCACCGACAAGATAAGAGTAGAAGACGTTCAAAAACGCTTCACACGTCAACTGCTAGGAAGTAACTCGAAGGCCGACTACACAGATAGATGTAAGCACCTCTCTTTAGAACCTTTATGGCACCGAAGGCTAAAGAATAATTTAATATTTCTCTACAAAGCGATATATGGACTCTCATTTCTAACCTCCTGCCCAACTATGATTCACGACCCAGCCTATAGACTAAGAAACAACGCATATACACTACACACTGTAAAACACCAAAAACAAGTGCGTTGTAAGTTTTTTACAGTACGGTATAGTTTATTGTGGAACAGGTTGCTATTGCCTATCCGTAACTGTCACACATTTACCAGATTCAAAAGGCTAATAACCCTGTTTCTAGACTCTAAAGAGCTTCAATCTTTCCTTGAACTCCTGTCCACCAATGAAGCACTTTATTATGAACCGCCTAATTTCTAAACTGAACAAGAATATTACGAGCCCGACTATTACTAATATGAATACAACTAAATTACAGGACATACGGTTTGCCGTTTCCTATTGTTCATTGTGCATTAATCCAGGCCTAATGCTCCTAACCCTCACTTTCAGTTCCCAAATCCCTCTACTGGTTAAATAAACATTTTTCTTCCTAAGTGTCATGTCTTTTTTTTTTCTTCTATTGCAAGTAGACAGATAACTCAGTAATCTTATGGATGCTGATCTGCTAAGGCCGATCATACGAAGCTCAAAATTGATCATAAAATCTTGTGAGTTGCTCTGTGTTTTATTTTTCTTACCCTAAAAATTCTACAATTTTATACTCTTTCATATCATTTGATTTGCTACTAGTCCTACTATCTTTAAACCACATATAATCTAACCTGTTTTTTCTATCTTTCACCATTAGTTATCTTTATAGCAATGTGATTCACTAAATGGACATCTTACCCATAGTACAAACGCTTTAACTATCAGATTTGCTTGTAACATGGAACTAGTAGAGACAGTGTATTCCAAACATGTGCTTTGATTAAAGCAGTTTGCATACTTACCACAAACGTAAGAGAGCCTAACATCACAAAAGGAGGGAGGGTGGCGTTACTGACCAGCAAACATGATGGCGGGGAGATAACTTCAATCCACCCTTTGTCTGTAGGGCAGAACATTTTGTTAAATTACGGCTCCTTATGGTCTAATGGAATGTCACGAACTAGTGGTATTGATGATGACTTATCATGCAAAATACCTCTTTAAATCGTGTTTAGAATGTTAAATTGGTTTAACTTCCTACCCAGTAATCCTATTACAAGCAAACTAGACAACTCGATAAAAAAAAACGAAGCCTACTCAAGACCCTATAAAATCTAAAAAAGGCTCCAATAGCGTCGACAAAAAAAGGGAGACAGCCATTTGTGTATCATAACACTGTTTTTAGCACTATATTTTATAACTACATATTCTCATACTCTCAGTTTCTTACTGAACCACCTCCATTTGTCAGTTGATTATCCACTCATACCTTGTCTACAGTTATTTTCTTTAACCTATTAGGATGCTCCTGCTTACTAAATACTTTATTAAAAGAGAATCAGACTGAGTAGTCATACCTTAACCATTTCTTCATGAACATTGTCTTCTCTGCTTCTCGTCCTTTTTTTGTTTTCTTGCACCATTTTTCAGCCTTCTTGAGATATGGAACGGGTGACCTCGTCCTGCACCACCCTTAAAGACTCAAATATTCCAAAGGGATATAAGATTGCGATTTCTAGAAGCCCTCAACTGCACATAAATCTATTATCGACCATCAGTTGCACGTTGCAACTCAACTCACATGAAGCGCGCTAACTGTGATACTGACTAAAACCACTCTACATTCATATCTTATAAATTATAGACCCAGCTGAGTAATTTACTACAGTTGGAATTTGTATCATTTGTAACAATTTGATCTTGCCTGTAAACTGGCATGCCTCATGTAACAAAATGTTATTTGAGAATAAATT